GACAGATGCTGAGCAGCGTTGCATTCATTTGGTCCGGCGTCGCTCACAGAAGCTGACAGAGCGGCTGGTGGTTGCTCATAAACAGGCTTGCATGTCTGCACATGCAGACCAGCACCTCCACTGTCCAAGCGCTGTCCTGGATGATGAATCCTGACTATTGCTAAGCTGTGCAGAGGCTCCCTGTGCTCATCGCTCACAGTGCACCTCTGTGGTCTCACACTCCCCACTCAGGGTCCAGAGGAGCATCCTCGGAGAACTCACAACTGGTCAGACGGATCCTGCTGACCGAGAGAAGACCCGACTCATCTGTGTTTGTTCCATATGCTATCACATTGATGATGAGCTCACACAGTGTGCAGCATCAAATAGTCATCAGTTGTGTTTACAGCACTATACTTTGATGCTACTACTTCAGGTGGAAGTAAATGACACACATGAACACCTGAGTGAATAAACAGCTCCACTGTGCTTATAATAAGAACAAGAACTCTTATTCCCAGCCTTAAACGAGCCAACAGTATTTGAATGGGTGGCGAGGGCGTCGTAGGGTAATCTCCAATAAACCAAGTTCACAAAGGGAGTCTGACGCGTGTTCCTGGTTCCCAAAGAGATGCTTCCAGTTGCATTATGACCTGAAGACTGTTTATTTATTACAAACTGAAGATCAGTGTTGGTCAAGTTACTTGAAAAAAGTAATCAGTAACTAATTACTGCAACATTCTCTGACTGGAAGAAATTAGTTTAACATTTAAACCTATTTTCTGCACATTCCAGCACATAAAATAAAATATTTTGTGTGTTTACACTCAGTCTTTCAAATAGATGCAAGTAAAACACAGCAGAAAATAAATAAAGTCAAAGACTAGCGGCCCTGTTGCTCTATTTTCACCTGTAAAGCAGGAGTGGGGTAGGCGGAGGTTTACCCTGGTGCAGGTGTGCAGCGGTCAGTGGAAGAATCCGCGAGTTTCTCTGTGAGTTTCCCATTACGTCGTAGCTACTCGGTGCTTGTTTGGAAGTTTAGGGGTTTTTTCGCTGTAAAAAGAAGTTTTCTTCCCACGCACAACGGACACTAATGTTTTTGTCACTTTTTATGGAATCAAACTCAAAGTAAGGTCAGTACTTCCACGCTTTAAACGCTGCACGCTCATACTCTCTCTGCACTCGATATATGATCCATTGTTGATCTGCACACAGCTGTTGTCACGAACGTCGCACTCGCTTACGTCACTGTCATGAGACATTCTCGCAAAAAATCACGGTTTTAGTAACGCAGTAACGCAGCGTTCCTACGGGAAAGTAACGGTAATCTGATTACTGTTTTTGCAATAGTAATCCCTTACTTTACTCGTTACTTGAAAAAGTAATCAGATTACAGTTTGTACTGCCCATCTCTGCTGATGATGTAACAATGAACTCCTTCCTAAATAAGCATGAACGTTCCAAAACAAAGCAGTTATCCAGAAGTACCTGTGCACACGGTCGGAAAACCGTGAGACTCCTAACCTCTCCATGCTCCGCCCCCTCACGCAGAGTTTCGTGATATTACTTTATGTAAGCACATATATTTTCATATTTATTAATCCTGAAAAGATGAAAAGATGACTCATGTAATGAATCTATGAATTATAAAATTATAAAAAGGGGCGACTCATGCAAACGTCTGTCCACGCACGGAGAGAGGTGGTGCCAGGTGAAGAAAGTCAACAAAGTAGGACGCAAGTGTCACATAGACTCGCTCGCTTGATGGCTGAGTGCTGACATCCTGCCTGGGCTCCAGGTTGGCAGCTGCAGCAGGACTAACGAGCTGAGAGACGACAACAGGAAGAAAAGGAAGAGTCAGACAACACGATGAGTCACAATTCAGCCGATATCTTTAGTGTGTAAAGACATCCTTTCAACGACATCGTACTCTGTAATTTAAAGATAGCAGTAAATCCAAATCTTACATTATGAAGCCTGAAGTCTCGGCTGTGGAGCTTGATGTCATTTAGATAACAGGCTGGCTTTAATTTCCCGAACGCGCTGTTTTCTTGTTCTGCGGTGTTACACTTCCTGTTCATCTTTATATCACAAAAGGACATTTTTCAGCACATGCTAAGCCTCCCTTTATTCAACACCCACCCTGTTTCCTCTCCTCTGTGTCATCTGCGTGATGCCCCATTAACTATGCCGTCCTTGAGCTCCCCTGACAGCCCGTTTCCTTTAGCATCTGCACTTCTTTCATCTAATTATCCATTTTAACAGATTTGCCACAAAAGCTAAACTAGGTTAACCCTGTCGAGCGTTTTTCTGTAGCTGATTGTAGCAGCTCACTTCACTGATCATGAAAGAAAAACAGCGTTTTATCCACCAGATGTTTTCAGGTGGGCTCAGCACTGCGCACAGCAAGTGTGCTGGAGGCTTCTGTCTGCAGGCGTGCTGCACAGGTGCTC